GGGAGTGTGCAGGAGGCAGCTGGTCGATGTTTCTCTCTCATCGATGTTTCTAACTCTCTGTCCCTCTCCCTTCCTCTCTGTAAAAGTCAATAAAGTATATTTAAAAAAAAAAAAAAAAAAAAAAGATTAAGGATTCCAATATACACCTGGGGGTCTGCCCGTGCACAGACGTGTTTGGAAAGGTCAGGGAATAATCAGGGGTGCCACCTGTGACACTCCCCTAAGACTCCCCTAAGTCGGAATTCCGATAAAACAGGGCAGGCGGCCTTCCACACACTTCCCTTTTATCAGCATGTCCTCCTTACAGCTTTCCAACCAAGTCTCCCCAACATCTGTCCGTCTCTCACCCTCCCTTCCACTGTCTACAGATCAACAGACCTGGGTGGGAATTAGCAACAGCAGACATTTCTGATGATAAGGCTCAGACTTTCCTGGAAAGTATCAAATGTTCAGATTTTCAAAAGGGGAGAAGTTCAGATTCTGTGAACTCGAGATAAGAAAGCCTGAGTCCAATTCTAGGTGCGATTTTTTTTTCAATGAAATCATTAGTACCAGTGTGAGCACTTAAAGGGCATGGTGCCTCCTGGGATACTGCAGGGACTCACAACTAGAGGCATGAATATTTCCTTTTTAAATGGAGTTACAACCCTCCCATGCCACTCCGGAAAACTTACCAGATAATTATGAAGGGATTTCAGCAAGATGTTTGACAAGGTCTCAAGATGTTCCTCTGGATCAGATAAAGAATTTTACTCAAACGTTATTGATTAATGGGAAGAGGACAGCCTCTGGCAGCCGTTTCACAGATGGAAGTACTGATTACGTGCTGATTATATTTTCAAACGCAGGATGCAGAGATAGAGGAAATCCGTATGGTATCAGAATCTAGATTGAGAAAAGTCTTAACAGGCAAGAGTGTGATAAGATAAAATTCGATTGTAAATGTATGAGGGCTTATGCTTGGGCCTCTGAATGTAACTGTACAGGTTCAGATGGCAGTTTAGTGGGATCAAGTGTGAAAAAGAATTAGGGGTTTTAGGCAGTTACTCCCCTATAACATTCAAAACATTTAGGAGGCCAGTGCGATTTCAGGTTACATTAACTGAAATTTGTCAGCTGGGACCCCTGTGTTCTCTCCAGGCCCATCTTAGCTCACTTAAATAGTGTGTCCAGCGAACTGGAGCCTGTGTGTAGAGGAGAGCAAAGGGGAGTTAGTGACGTAGCTGGCAGAATGCTTGTGAGAGAAGCAGTGTAAGAACCTGAGGGTTTGCACTGGAGAAGACATGTTTGGAGGCACATGTCAGCTGTCCGTAGGTGCTAGCGGAGCAGATTTTCTCAAAGGGTAGAATTAAGACTAGTATGTGAAGTGACATAGTCAAAATCTTGGAAAGTCTTTAAAGCATTTAGTCAAGAGGAAATAGTTCTCTATCACTGGATAGGAAATATTGTGGAGGGGTTTTAAGCTTTTCTGATAGCTCTATGCGTTTACCCGATGGCTGTTACATTATCTAATGGATAAGTATATTGGATGAACTAGCTTCTTCAACACCAGACATCTAAAGATGTGACTCGAACGATTTGTAAGGGTCCCTTATGTTTAATTGTTGCCCAGTTTTAGTTTGTTGTATTGAATCAAATCAATCATCTTTTCTTGGAAACAGATAAGTTTATACTTTAACTTTATCATATATTTAATTTAAAACTATTCTTATAATGGTATTGCATATTATTTTATCTCACAGGTAGTCTCCAATTATATATCTTTCTTACTTCAAGTAAAACAATTTTAAATATGGGAAGACCTTTGAAGGTTGCTGCAAACTGCTTCCTGATTAATAATCTATATATATAAAAGCCTAAGTGACCATTACGACAGAACAACTGGTTGACCAGTTGCTATGATGCACACTGACCAGGGGGCAGACGGTCAACACAGGAGCTGCCCCCTGGTGGTCAGTGCACTTCTACAGGGGGAGCACCGCTCAGCCAGAAGTCGGGCTCACGCTGGTGAGCGCAGCTGTGGCAGCAGGAGCCTCTACTGAGTGGAGGCAGCAGGCAGCAGGTGCAGTGGGCTGGGATGAGCACGAGTGAGGCGGTGCCTGGCCTGGTTCTGGCTCCTCCCTGGCCACCTGCCGCTTGGTGCACTACTATATCCCCTGAGGGGTCCCAGATTGTGAGAGAGAGCAGGCCGGGCTGAGGGACATTCGCCCCCCCACCCCCCCAGTGGCAGAATTTCGTGCTCTGGGCCTCTAGTATAATTGCTAAAAATTTATCTTCCATAGGTGGTAAACCTGTTGATGGCAATTTTGCTGACTGTGGAGGTAACTCATCCAAACTCAATGCCCTCTGTCAACATTCAGTATGAAGTCATTGGCAATTACTATTCATCTGAGAGAATGACAGGTATGTTTTTAGATGAAAATATCCCCTGCTAATTACACACACACACACACACACATTATTTGGAAGAGAATTAATTCTGTTTAAGTTATTCAACTTGCTGAGGCAGAAAAGTGTTTTGTGGGTTTTTCAAAGATACTCAGGATTATAATTGAGCAGTTCTAGCCAGAAAATGTATGGCTAGAAATGGTATTTTATACTTTGACTCCTGTTTTGGTGTTGTGGAGATCAGAGGGAAAGAAGGCATTACAAAAAAACTGAGCCTTTGAGGGTCAGCTGACAAGTGTAGCAGAGGATGGGAGATTTGCTCATGGAACAAAAAGACTTACAGTAAATATAAAGTAAGGAATTATTTGAATATTTGGTGATATCTTTTGCTTAGGGTCACTATTCTAAATATATTTCTGTTTGGATGAAAAAAGACTTGACATTAGAGTTAAAAATAGAGGAACCCTAGCACATTCCTAGATATTACCTTTTTAAACCCACACATTTCCTGATAGCAGTATTTTCGTTTATCTTCCTCTACGGTTCAGGTGCAGAAAAGTTGTAGTTTTATATTATTATAAATTATGTTAGAAATTTAATATTTGAGCAGGAAATTATGCCTCAGACTTTTCAGTGTGAATGATTTATGTTGATTTTAAAAAAATTTCGCTTCAGAAGAATGTTCCCACTTCACTGTATATGTTATATGTTATATATTATATTACAGGATCTTAATGATCATTTTTAAAATTATTAGCTTTTATTATAAAGTTCTGTGCTTGTTACATTTATGACCTACTCTAATCCATTTATGAGGTTGTTTTAAAAAAAATTTGGTTGTTAATTCAAAGGATTCATTGTCCACAGGGCTGACTTCTGTTTCCGGGAGCAGGTAGTGTTTTGTGGGCATCCGTCACGCTTATGAAAGCTCTAACAATTTTCCACACTTTGTGTCTAAGGTGCTTTTTTAAAAAAGGATCTCCTGATTGTCTTTTCAAAGTATCGTATAACCCTTTAATTTTGTTGTCAAATGTGAAGAAAAAATACCAAGAACATATTAGAAACAGCCCTTCTGGCATTTGTGTGTGTGTGTGTGTGTGTGTGTTTAGTTGTCTGTCTTTATTTAAAAACCAAGATAGAACGATAAATAAACTTTAGCTCCTAATGGCCATTTGTGGTATTTATAAAATTTTACTTTAGGTTATAAAATATTACTGAACCTCCTCATGTCAGCCTCTTCCCTGGTCATGTGTGTTTCTCTTAAAATTGAGGTGCAGAAAAAGATTTAGGGTTATTGAGATTCCTGTATGTCTGTACAGCCGGCTCCCAGCCTTGGCCAGAGCTCCAGGTGTGAAGTCACAAGTTATTGTATGTTGCCTGAGTATTGTAACTCTCCAGCGAATCAGATGTATTCATTATCAGTTTTTGTTAGTTATAATTCTACAAAAGCCCTTGCTGTTGAGAGAATAGAAAATACATAGTTCTTGGTCCTGTGATATCTGTGTTTCGTTGGAACAATATGAGGAAGTTGAGAAACAAAACAGACCTGAATATAGCAGAGAAGCCCAGCTGAAGGATGCGGAGCAGGGAGCATGGGTGTTGGGGTGGGGAAGAGGAGATTAATTAAGGACAGCCTTTAATTTCAGATCATGTATTTTATCTAAGGCACGAGGGGGCATCTGTAGCATTCTGTGTTTAATACGTCTTTTAAGGAAATACCAGCTTTTACCTTCGGTTGAACCCTGCTCAAATCACAAAACCCAACTTATTCTTTTATATTTTATTCCTGATTCTCCAGGCAAAGCTGATTGTTTCTGCTTCTATTGTAGCACTTGCCACTTTGGATTATAATTTGCTGCTTGCACATCTTGGCCTCTTAGACTCTGGGCAGACATCTGTCTCCCTAGCAGGGTACCTGGTTCATGTGCCATCCTATATAATAAAATCCTAATAGGCTAAGTGTCTGGTCGTCCAGTCGTCTATTCAACCAATCAAAGCGTAATATGTTAATGGTATGCTAAATCCACTCAACCGCTCGCTATGACATGCAGTGACCACCAGGGGGCAGATGCTCTGATCGGTAGGTTAGCGTATTGCTGGGGTCCAACTAATTGGGACTGAGTGAGATGGGCTGGACACGCCCTGGAGCCCTCCCTTGGTCCCTCCCCAGCTGGCCAACCTCCCCGTCTCTCCCCAGTCCTGATTGTGCACCAGTGGGGTCCCTCAGCTTGGCCTGCACTCTCTCACAATCCGGCACCCCCTAGGGGATGTTGGAGAGCCGATTTTGGCCCGATCCCACAGGCCAGGCAGAGGGACCCTACTGGTGCATGAATTTGTGCACTGGGCCTCTCGTCCTTAATAAGTATCAGTGAATTGTAGCAGTTTAACAAACAAGAAAACAAAGGGACTAATTGCTTAAGCTTCATTACTTAAAGCTGAGGCAGATTTTTTTTTTACCCTCTTGGATTTTTTTACCCTCTTAGATTTTTTCATAGCCAATCTTGAAAATACTTTGATGTTTGTAAGCTAGCTTTAAAGTGTTATTTTGTCATGAAGAGTTTTGTTCTTTTTGTGTAAGTTGCTTAATTAGATTTTGGTTTTTGTTTTCTTAGATAATGCCTGTGTTCTTTTTGCCGTCTCTGTTCTTATGTTTATAATCAGTTCAATGCTGGTATATGGAGCAATTTCTGTAAGTATCCTATGTTTTCAACTTTTGGACTTTGCTTTTTACTGAACATACTTAGTACTTTCATTTATGTGATGTTGTGGTTGTTATTTTTTTTTTCTTCAGTATCAAGTGGGTTGGCTTATTCCATTCTTCTGTTACCGGCTTTTTGACTTCGTCCTCAGTTGCCTGGTTGCTATCAGTTCTCTCACTTACTTGCCAAGAATCAAAGAATATCTGGATCAATTAGTAAGTGTGTATGCTAATTAAATTTATTTTTTTCCATTTTAAGTAAAATATTTAAATTTAAATTCTTAGTTTTTTCGGCACTATTTTTATTTTAACTGACCCTATTTATTTTGTTTAAAGTGTTCTAAAATAATATCACTACTCTTAACTACCATGTTGAAACCAGTAAGATGAAAATAGAATTATCTTCTTACCATACCATTTGGATAGTCAATATTAGAAATCCCTAAAAATGGTTATTATGGAATTTGAGTAGTTCAACTTTTGTTTTGAATAAACTAAAAGTATAATAATTCGACTGTACTTGGCACTCATTAAAGTATTAGCTTTTTATTTTTGCAGGCCTTCATAGCAAATATTTGAGTGCCTATTGTCTGCTCATTCTGTTCTAGGCGAACTGTAGGTGAATGATGTAGCTATAAAGAACCCCCCCCCCAAAAAAAAATAAATAAAAAGATAACTTCCCCTTCAAGGAGCAAACCATTTGGGGAGTCAGGACATGAAGACGTTGTCTGTGATAATGAACTAGGGCTGTCACAGCACGGTGGTAGATGAGGAGCTTAAGTGCTGTGTGACAGAGGGGCAGGGAACACTCTGGACCAAAGTAAGGTCTCGAAGGAGGAGTGGGGTCCTGAGAAATGAGAGTTCACTTAAAAAATTCTGCCTTTCAAGAATTTTCACCCCACTTTCAGATTTTCTGCCTAATCCATTTTGCGTACCACCAAATTTATCACTCATTCTAAAAAACATTTGTTGGTGCTTATGTGCAAGGCACTGCTGGATCCTAGGGATATATCCGTAGAACTTTCTAGTGAAGGAATTGGAAAATTGACAGTTACTGAATTAAAATTGTGATAAAAGCTGTGAAGGAAAAGTGTAGGCTGCTATGTGAGTGGATATCACACAGGTATCAGACCTGAGCTGGGAAGTGAGATTTAATTCCAAGTAGGAATTAAGATAGGGAAAGTGCAAAAGAAAATGTTCCGGGTAAAACAGACACCTTGAAGCAGGAAGGAGCATGGGGGATGGCCAGGGGACGGAAAGCACTGGTGGCTGGCACACAGGAGGAATGGAAGGTAGGAATGTGGCGAGGCTGGAGAGAAGTGGCCTGGTCAGCAGCTTCCTAAACACAGTTCTCTCCGCTGATGTCATCGCTGGCTGAAAATTGCAAGCCTTCTGAATAAAGTCATAGCATTTCTCCCATGAGCTGGTTCCATTATGTGTTTGTTCTTTTTATTTAGAGGTGAAGAAAGCTTAAAAAATTGTTTTGTCCCAAGGGAACACTTAGTTTGGGATTCGTGTGTAGATTTTTCTTTCTTTTTGGTCCTTTGGGATTTCTTTGTGCTACTTTTTTACAAAACTGTGAGATTATTTGTGTTGACATTTCCATTGAAAAAAGTGGTTTAAAACGATTAAATGAGCTATATAGAAGCCCACGAAAATGAAATGTTTACTACTTTTACAGACCTCACTGTTTTCTCCCTGTTTTGTTCGCTTGGTTTCTCAGCCTGGAAGGGACTTTGTCTGTTGGCCACCTTGTACATCCTAAACTATTCTTTTGTAATGCCCCTCTCCTTGAACCTAGCTCATTGCCTCGCACACAGTAAATGCTAACTAAATATTTGAATACATGTAGCTGATCCTTCTCAGTCGAACGTGGTATGCCTGCAGTAAATCATGTGACCCGCCTGGCTGTCTAACCAGGGGCATGCCTTCTTTTGCCCCTCCTAATGAGCAGGGAGACTGACGATTGGCTTTTAGATGAATTATTTTCCCCAGGTAGAACCAAATGGCCCATGGACTTTAGATAAATATCAGCACTTCTTGATTTAGTGATTTTGAAAAGAAAGAAAGTGAGCTCAATTTAGACTCTTAGGATTCTTCTGAATATTCAAACAAATGTATTTTAAGTGATCAGTCACATGCATTAATGATGAGGCTCTAAAGTACTTTGAGTTAAATTCTGTAAGTTTTTATTAGAATATCAGCTCTGACTTTGGTGCCTCTTGTTTGTAGTTGTGCCATGCTCTTTAGGTTGTCACAGAGGGCAGGTGCTGTGGCTGAATTATAAGTGTGTATGTTTAATAGACTTTGTTTCTTAGAGCATTTTTAGGTGCACAGCGAAATTGAACAGAAAGTACAGAGTTTCCCACATATCCCCTACTTCCGCCCCCATAACCTCTCTTACTACCCACATCCCTAACCGCAGTGATTCATTTGTGACAGTTGTGAACCTGCACTGACACATCATTATCACCTAAAATCCTTAGTTTTCATTAGGGTTCATTTTTGGTGTACATTCCACACAGGTTTGGGCACATGTATAATGACATGTATTCATCAGAATAGTTTCACTGCCCTAGAAATCCTCTCTGCCCTGCCTCTTCATCCCGCCTTTTCTTTTATAGCCTGATTTTCCCTATAAAGACGACCTCCTGGCATTGGACTCCAGCTGCCTCCTGTTCATTGTTCTTGCGTTCTTCGTCTTATTCATCATTTTTAAGGTGAGTTGCTGACTAAATATTTGGGGGGCCAGTTAGACTGTGACACTGTCCATCTAAACACTGTTGCCTTGTCTTCCTACAGTTCACAATAAGTGACTGTTCATTTTGAGACAGCAGTAGAGAGAGCTTTCAGGGAATGTCCTCCCTCTTGTTTCCAGAGAATGGAAATGCCAGGATCCTTATTAAGGATTGTCATGTTTTTAGAAGTGGTTCATGATTTGGATTGAAAATTGTTAAAATTTCCAAGGTTCAGAAACAGAGTTTCTTCTGCAGCACAATGGTTATCAGACCTGATACCCCAAATCTGGGTTTTCTGTAAAATGATAATAAAACTTGTGACATTTAAGTGAGAGCAAGTGGATCTAGGGCTTGGCCTGTGCGTGTCAGTTTCCTTCTCCATGGAGAACGGTGGGGGGAAGCATTAGAAGTCCCCTTAGTTTAGAACAGGTAGTCTGTTGACTTCCAGCATCTGTAAATTTTACTTTTATTCATTTAGGCTTATCTAATCAACTGTGTTTGGAACTGCTATAAATACATCAACAACAGGAACACGCCAGAGATTGCTGTGTACCCTGCCTTCGAAGCACCCCCACAGGTGAATGACCTCTAATATACTGAAACTTCACCAGCCATATTGATTCTTTAGGGCATGAATAGCTTCAGTCCACAAGATCGAGCATTTCCCAGTTGGAATCCTGGGTACACGGACGAAAGGCAGCCTGCACTGCCAGTCTTCCTCAGTTTGGCTGTTAGGTTTGATTCATAAGTGCTTCCTAAGAGTATTGCATTTTGGGGGGAGAGTAGGCAGGAAACAGCAGTGTGACCCATGCCAGGCTTGTGGGTTCTGGAACTTCTGAGAATGGAGGTACCATCAGTTGTGTTGCTTTCACAAAACATGCATACGACCCAAAGGAGACGCTGACTTTCTGTGGGGAGGTGCCTGAATGGGCTCCACGAGTCTTTTGGGGATGCTCATCTCGTGGGCCCTCTAGTTGCTACTCTACTCTTTCTAGGTTTTCAACATGTAGAATCTCTGTGGCCCGTTTAGGGCCAGCCTGTCACACTTGGAGTCAGTAGGGTAGAATTGCTGCTCTCCTGCATAGACGTGCCCTTTACCCCAGAAGAAATAAGTACCCGATCCTCTGACTGTAGATGAGGATGAAATTCAGGACACAGCATTTTATTGGAGGCTTCCTTTAACATCATCACTGGGGCCCTTAATCTAGACCTGCAACCACCTGCGGTGTAGTTGGTACTTGATCAGCCACATGGGAAGGGTGGGAAGAGCAGGGGCACATGCTTCCTGTCCAAGTGTTTGGTAGCCCCCAGGGTTAGTTCAGCTAACCCTGCCCTTACTTCCGTCCCTCCTTCCCTCCTGGCCTCCCTCCTCCCTTCATCCCTCTCTAGCATTCTGGATCAGATGTCTCGTGTGCATTAAAGGTCCAGGTTACTAGTCATCTCTCCTCTCAGGCCTTGTGTAGCTAACAGTTTCTTCAGCTCTTCTCTGTGGGGTTGTGTGTCCCTTTTTAGGACATAAAATCTGAAAGCTGAATTATCGCAAGTAGGATTTTAAAGGAGAATTAAGTCTGATACAACTTTTTTCTCTCTTCAGTACGTTTTGCCAACCTATGAAATGGCAGTGAAGATGCCTGAAAAAGAACCACCGCCTCCTTACATACCCGCCTGAAGACATCCTGCCTTTGTCAATAAACCCTATACCAGCTTTTTGTCGTGTTTATTTTACAGAATGCTGCAATACAGGGCTCTTCAAACTTGTTTGATATAAACTACATTTTCCTTTGTGTAAGCATTTATTTTCAAACACTAACAAGCTTTTGGGACATCTATTAGAAGTCAGTTGTTTTTCTGTTTTGTTAAGTCTATTACATTTTAGTAGTTTTTGAAGACAATCTAGTTAAGCAAGAGCAAAGTGCCATTGTTTGCCTTTAATGGGGGTGGGGTGGGGAGGGGTGCTCTCTACACATTTTCTTTTTTAACTTTGCACTTCCTTTATATAATAGTTTGCATTTTGGTTATTTTGCTGCCCTGGATACTTTCAGGAGGAATGAATAAAATATTCAGGGTGAATGAGTTGGGTATAAGATCTGAAGTTTTCAGCTATGAAAACAGGAAAAATGTATGACGTTTTAACTTGACTATGGAAATGACGGTTGCATGTTTCTAATTTGTATTTTCCATTTTGTGATAAGATGCTTTAATAAATTTCTTAAAATTTACTGTTGTCGTTTTTAAGAAGTCTATTACCCTCTTTTTGGTAGATAAAACCTAACATTTTTCATTATAATAAACTCAGACTGCCTTGGATTTTGATACTTTGAGACTATAATGCTAGATTTTCTTATTATAAAGCATTTCTTTAATCCAGTGACTCTGAAGTATTATTTAAAGTTATAGGGACTATATATATTATGTTAATTTAGGTCATAAATTAACATAAATGGTTTGATGGAAAAATTATGCGGGTCGTGTGGCAAGCTCTGCCTTTCTGTTGAGATCATTTAGTTGGGCAATGAGTTCTCAAGAGCAGTTCATGTTGAGATGCATCATTTGACCTCCAGAGGGGAACCAAAGAGAAAACGGAAGCAAACTGCAGCTTATGGGTGCCGCAGCTGAAGTCCTTTCCTGAAAATATTCCACTTTGCCTCTGGCTGAGAATGCAGCTGTGGTGACATGCTCATCTATCTTATAGACAAATACATTGTACATATTTTTAAATGGAATTTGTTAGAGTAACATTGGTTTGCAAAACCATACAGGTTCAGGTGTACAACTCAGTAAACATCATCTGCACACTGGGTCGTGTGCCCAACCTCCCAAGCAGAGTCTCTTCATCCCCACTCCCCTACCCCCTTTGCCCACTCTCACCTACCCCCCTCCCCCACTCCCTTTTCCCTCTGGCTCTCTCCAATCCAGTACTTGTTTGTTGGTTTATTGATGATAACCATTCTGACTGGTGTGAGGTGATACCTCATTGTAGTTTTAATTTGCATCTCTCTGATGATTAGTGATGTTGAGCATTGGCCACTGTATGTCCTTTTATGGGCAGTGTCTATTGAGGTCCTTTGCCCATTTTTAAAATTGGATTGTCTGTTTTCCTGGTGTTGAGTTGTGTAAGTTCTTTATATATTTTGGAAATTAACCCCTGATCAGATGTATCACTGGCAAATTCTCCCATGCAGTGGGTTCCCTTTACATTTTGTTGATGGTTTCTTTTGCTGTACAAAAGCTTTTTAGTTTGATGTAGTCCCATTTGTTTAGTTTTTTCCTTTGTTTCCCTTACCCTAGGACCGTGGTCGGCAAACTGCGGCTCGTGAGCCACATGCGGCTTTTTGGCCCCTTGAGTGTGGCTCTTCCACAAAATACCACGTGCGGGCGGACGTACAGTGCGATTGAAACTTCGTGGCCCATGCACAGAAATCGGTCGTCGGCCTGGGCGAGTCTATTTTGAAGAAGTACTGTTGATATTTGGCTCTGTTGACTAATGAGTTTGCCGACCACTGCCCTAGGAGATGTATTGGCAAAAATATTACTCTGAGAGATGTCTGAGATTTTACTGCCTATGTCTTCTAGGGTTTTTATGGTTTTGCGACGTACGGTACATTTAAGTCTTTTATCCATGTTGAGTTTATGGCTTGGCTGTGTGACTTTTTAAAGAAAGCTAACCATAATGTATGCCCTCGTCTAACAAAATAGTTTTAATTTTCCACATGCCTACATGCAAATGTGCTGAAACAGACCATTAGTACTTGATGTTGCTTCTCCCTCTGAACTTCAGAGAAGGAGCCAGGCGGTGGAGGAGGCCAGAGGAAGGGGGCACCGCTCAGCACAGCGCTGTCTTGCCAGGCAGTGAAGTGAAACAGCAGAGCCATTTCCTCAGTGTCTTAGACTCTTGGAAAAAGCAATGCCAGGTGCTTTCTTCAACAAACTGTCGTTCTGGCTCATGGGCCTGCCCTGGAAGAGCCAGGCATCAGCTCTGTGGGATTATCTTCCATTCCCTGAGGTCTCAGCCCCACCATAGACTGAACCTGCACGTGGTGAGGTAGCACGTAGGGGAATTCAGCAGTGAACAGTGCAGGCATCGCCCTGCCCACCTGGAGCCTGCTCTCAAGTGGGTCAGATGGTTTGGATTGTCCTGGAAGTGGAGGTGCAGGGTTTAAGAAGAGAAGCATCTTTAAGGTTACTGTGTGGAGTGCGGGTTTTAAAGGGCAAAGTCTGGACGCAGGAAAGGTTCCATTGGAATTCATGTTCTTTGTCATGTTTTATGACTCACTCAAAAGTCACCCGCTTTTATCCCTTCTCTCCCAGGAGACTGTGAGTTCCTGGAGGACTCCCCTTGGCCAGCCTCCAGCTCTGTGCTGTGATGGAAAATTCCTTTTTTCCTAATGTGACGCCCCCCCCCCCCCCCCCCAATCTAGGTAGTCCCATGGAGGCTCACTCCTGCTGCCGTGATGTGGCCTCTTCTATCCTAACCCTTTGTTTCACCGTCTCCAGCTTTAATAAACTTACTCTCAAAATACCCGCGGCCGTGAAACCCCTCCTACCTGAAGTCAAGCACCCACACATTCCAGACCTGGGGGTCACCTGCTGCAGAACTACGGTGTGGGGGCGGGAGGGCGCCTCGCCTCGGGAGCAGGCTGCCTTGTCCTCCCTTCTCCAGCTAACGGGCCTCTGGGGAATGTTTGTTTGCCATTCTATTCTGGGTAGCATACTTCTGCCCACCCCGTAAGGTCAATAGCGTGCAGATGTTTGAAGCGGGATGAAAGCATTGCTATTCATGCTGCTAGAATCTGAGGCTTTTTTTTTTTTTTTTTAACCGAGAGCCCACCGCAAAAGGTGGGTCCCTCGGCCAGGGAAAGGAATGCAGTGTGGGGAGCAGGATGAAGACTGGGGCAGGGCTGCACGGAGAGGGAGGGCGGACCGCCCGAGGCGCCCGGGGTTAGGTCAGGTGGCTGCGAGCGGGAGTGGAGGGAGTGGAGGGTCGGGCGCGCTGAGGCCCTGGACTGGCCCCTCCAGCGTCCAGTGTGGGCGGCAAGGGCTGAGCCCACCCAGCGGAGGCCCGGCCACCAGGTGGTGGGGGTCCAGGCCCCGCCCCCCGCCCCAGCTGCCCAGTCATTGGCTCCGCCGGGCGAGGGCGGGCCATGGGCTTAAACCTGGCCCCGCCCCCTGGCCCAGCTGCCCAGTCATTGGCTCCGCTGGGGTTCCACGCTCGTGGCCGCTGGTCCAGAGCGGGCCATTGACTTAAATCCGCCGGTGCGCCTGTCCCGGCCGCGACGAACCGAGCCTGCGAGACATCACCCGGCGCGGACACCATGCGGCGCGTCCTCCCGGGTCTGCTCCTGCTGCTGCCGCCGCTGCTGCTGCCGCCGGGCCCCGCAGCCGCCACGGTCCCCGCTCCTCCGGCCCGCCCAGGCTTCCAGAGGCTGGGGACCCATGGCCCGGGGGGCAGCCCCGGGCGCCGTCTCGCTCCGGGCGTCCCCCCACGCGCGCCCTATTCGGGGGCCGGCCAGCCCGGAGGGGCCGGTGCCGCAGGTACTGTCCGGGCTCCGGGTGGGGGTGGGGGTGGAGGTGGAGGGGCACCTGGCAGGGGGCGCGGTGGCAGGGAGAGTCCGGCTTGGGCGTCGGTGTCTTCCTTCCCTCCCTGGTGCAAACGGAGGTTCAAGAAGGAAGGAGTCAGGGCTGGGGGGGGGGGGGGGGGTCTCTGGGAACAATGCCATTTCCCCTTTGAGTCGGGAGTTGGTTCATGCGGCAGAAAAGCTCCCAGAGCGCAGGATGTTTACCAGGCACAGGAGATACTGTTGACTTTCGTGATGGGAGATGTTGCCTCAGAGAGAGGTAACCCTGCAGGGAAAAGCCCGTGGGCTGGCAGTCCAATCCATGACCCACCACTTTCCAGCTCTTACACCTCCCGAGACCCAGGCTTCTCGTCTGTAAAATGGGTATAAAAGCAACCTCTGCACCTCCGACTTCACAGGGTTGTTGTGTTGGTGCCCTGCGATCTCTACAGTGTTAGTGGTAGGAGGATATTATTATTTTCTTAATCGAATACCTCCAGGCAGCAGGATAATTTTCAGGTTTGTTTTTTTTTTAAACTATAGAGTTATATAATTCCTGTCCCTTGCTTAGCCTAGGAATTTATTTTGAATCTACCTTTTCCCCACTCACTTGAGTAGATTGCCTTAGAGTAGCATCAACTTCCAGCCCCTATTAGGAAAGGAAGGAACTTTGATTGACAATTAATGTCCAGGGATAAGACATTAATTAGGACTTGGTGTGTATGATGAATGTGTGTGTGTGTGTGTTGGGAGAAAAGGAGGAATAACTTGAAAAAAGACATTTAATAACTGGCTTCTCTCTAAGCCTCCTGACCTGATTAGGCCCAGCAGCTTAGTTGCCGCCACTGCCGGGGGGAGGGAGTGGGGAAGTGTTTCCTCTCCCCACCCTCAAAAAACTTTGGAGAATGAAAAAATGAAAGAGAGGTGACTAAGAGTTTGATAGGGACTTGGGATTGGTACCGAATCTCCATCTCTGCTTCTTTAAACAAGAAACACCCACAGAGTTGGAAGTGCAGTAAACATGCCTCAATCAGAGGAAGTTGTCATCCCTCTTTCTACTTTCAATGTAGCTCAGGCTAGTTGGGCCCTCGAGTGCACTAAACATGAATTAATGACCAGCTAGAGGGAGACCTAGGGCTGCTCTGGAGTAGTGTTCACCCCATGGGAGTGGGCAATGCGGCTGCCCTGACAGTTCACCTTGCACACTCTTCAGGGACACTTTGTCCCATGGCCTCAGGTAGCCAAGGCGCCCAGGCAGGGTCTGGAATCCACTCGTTCCTGGGAGTCAAGAGGAACCTTGAGTACAAAACTTGAAGCGAAGGGATGTGGTTCTAAGTGAAATTTAAGGGCTCAGCCAGCCTACAGGTGCAATATTGGGGTAGGTAGCCTTAGAGTAGCATCAGTTTCCAGCCCCTAGTGCAGCGGTTCTCAGCCTGTGGGTTGCGACCCTTTCACAGGGGTCGCCTAAGACCATCGGAAAACACATATATAATTACATATTGTTTTTGTGATTCATCACTATGCTTTAATTATGTTCAATTTGTAACAATGAAAATACATCCTGCATATCAGATACTTACATTAGGATTCATAACAGTAGCAAAATTACAGTTATGAAGTAGCAACGAAAATAATTTTATGGTTGGGGGTCACCACAACATGAG